CGCCCCTCCCGGCGGAGCAGCGCCCGGCGCGCCCCTTAAAGCCGTTCCCGCCCGCCCGCGCGGTCAGTCCGCGGGGCCGCCGCCGGTCACCGCGGGGAGGCGCCGGGACGGGGTGGCCGCGATGCTGGAGAACGGCTCCTTGAGGAACTGCTGTGACCCGGGCGGGCGCGGCCGCCTCGGTTTGGCGGAGCGGGAGGCGGCGGCGGGGGGAGCCCCRCGGCCCGCTTGGGTTGTGCCGGTGCTGTCCAGCGTGCTGATCTTCACCACCGTGGTGGACATCCTGGGCAACCTCTTGGTCATCCTCTCCGTCTTCAARAACCGCAAGCTTCGGAACTCAGGTAAGGGCTTGACCCCCACACCCTGCCCCGGCGGCGGCAGGGGGTGGCAAGCACCCGGAGTCCCGCGGGCACCCTGTTCCTCGCTTCCAGCTGTCCTGAGGAGCYCAGCCCTCTTGTCGAGTCTGCTGAAGGCGGGGGACCAGAGCCCCCATCCATTGCTGCTCGTTCTATAGTGTGTGCAGGAACCCCCAGGCGCTCAGTCACCCTTCCCAGAGCACCGCCCCCGCGCTCCCCTCGGGCTCCGTCCTGCCCTCCGTCCATGAATGCGGGTCCTTGAGTGTTCCTAATGAGGCATCTTGTGGTCTCTGTGGAGCTCCCGAGGAGAGGGATCGGTGCCATTCGCTTAAAATACCGGAGACAAAAAGCGTGCCCAAAGCGGCCAGAGGAATGAAGGAGGAGCTTTTAAAAGTTGCTCAAGAGTCCTAAAGATGCGGTGCCGTGCATGCATGGGGAAGCGGCTCAGCCCGCTCGCTGGAGCCTGTATCAGAGCTCGCAGTAGTCTTTCACGAAATCGTCTTTCTTCTCGTCTCCTTACCGCATATCCTTCAACAAGAACGCCACAAATAAAGTGGGGTTTTCTTTGRATAGTGTCTATAGTTTTTCTTGTGTGCGCCAGAATGTTGCTCTGCGGCTTTTACTTGCTAAACTTACTGTCTCTCTCTCCTCATCTCTGCTGGGCTGGTTACACGTGTTTCAAACCACAAAACTCTGTAGTTAAGCACCAACTTCTCCGATTTGTCTCCTGGCCARCTTCCCTGATTCGCGGGCGTCCCGCTGCGTTCGGATCCTTACATCCCGCTCCGCCTCCCCCCGGCGATGGTACCGGTTTGTTCCTGMTGCGCAGAGCTGGGCGCACCTGCGCTCGGCTGCATGCTGGGTGTCGGTGCAGTATAAAGTGCTACCCCCGGAATTGTGGTAAATCTACTACAGCTCTCGTAGTAGCWAGCAGTTCCCGGAATTGCTCATTCCTTCGAGACTCGAGTGCCCTCGTTTTGCCATGCGCACGCAGGTCGGGGTAACCAAACTTTGCTGGGAGCTGGCAGAAGTCCGATGCACTACGTCCCCCGCACTCGGAGCCAGCGGGCTCTGCCATCGGTCCTTTGTATCAGCGGGGGCTCCCTTGCCACGGGGAAGGAGGGAGAGCTGCGGACTTGTTTCTCCTGGGGGTGGAAGGCGATGTTGGTTTGGGGTTTATTTAACCGATGTCGCTTCCCGAGTGCTGTCGTGTCTCACGTGCGGTGATTACAGCTCCTGCTAACGGGGAGTGGGCGCTCGTTCACCCTTGCTTTAAGTTAAATAGTTTTTAGGGTTGAAAGCAATTTATGGGGGGTTAAATCTTGCCCTCCCCAATCGCTGCACGTCTAACTGCAGGCGGGGGATGCCGGCAAGTCCTTTTACCTGGGGCTGAGCGATCACACCCCACCGAGCAGCACCGAACCTGAGCACGTCCGGAAGGGTGGTTTGGCTGAACGGGGAAACACATGGAAAGGCAGCTGGTGGACYTTGTGCTTGTGCTTGGGCTGTCCCTCCCAGGGGAGCAAGCCCAGAGAAGCGGAGCCGTACCGAGGCCGGGAGCGCTGGCACGGCCCGGAGCCGGAGCGGGACCGCGGCCGCCGAGCGGGGCGGAGCGGGGCTGGGCTGGGCTGGGCTGGGCTCAKCTCCACGGCGGGGYAGGAAATCCCTCGGGACCCGCCGTGACTCACTGGAGCTCTCCCGGCCCCCTCGGCGCCGGGGGAAGGCGCTTTCCCGAGGGATTCGCGCCTGGGATCCGGGGGCAGGAAGCGCCCAGGGAACAGCTCTCGCTGGAGAGGGCGGCCCGCCCGAGGCATCAAACCCCGTCCGGGGGAAGCAAGAGAGGGGCTTTCTTCTGAAACGTTCCCTTCGCCCAAACTGCAGCAAAGGGGAGGGTTTGGACTGGAAGAGAGCGATGTCTGAAGAGTAAGTTTCGAGATACTGATCAGAGTATTCCGTGGCACTTTAGGACTGGTGTGGGGGGGGTGGAAGCCCCACGCAAYCAAACGCCGTCATCGTCTTATCTGGTTCAAATACCTACTAATTGATCTCCTCGTAGGATCATCCTTAAGGTGATGTCACTGACCCTGTCCCAAGATCCCTTTATCTTTGATAAGAACTGTGAAGAATAACAGGGAATACCTTCTGCATAATCTTCATAAGGTTAAATACCTTTTAAATTGCCAGTTCTTAGTTTTCGTCAGGGAGACATGGTTCATAGAGGTGAAACTGAAAGGGCATAGTTTGGTAAATGTCCACAGAAGTCTTTTTAGGTAAAATTTCTTGAGGAGGAAGCAGAGTGGAAGAGGACTGCAAACTGATGTGGGTGGAGTGACAGAAAGGATGGGAAGAGAGCTAAGGCAGTACTTGGGAGCCCTTAGCCTCTGGCAAGGAAAGAAGATGGAAAAGCAGGTGGACTTGCAGTTTTCCCTTCTGAGCAAATAAGAAACGACGTATTTGTACTTGCAAGGGGAGTGAATGCAGTAGAAAGTGAAATTGTGAAGAAAAATGAAAGATGTTAGACCTTGAGAGAGAAGAAAAAGATGAAGTCAGGGGAATGGTTATGACAGGAGGACATCCAGATGATTGAAGGAAAAAGGAAGAGCCATAGAATAATGAGCACTTGCTTCCCTTTAAAGAAGTTTATGAGAGATTTTTCTTAGATGGGAGCCTGGGACTTCAAATACATCACAGGTGTATAAGGAATAAACTAACCAGCTCTGCCCACTTATGTAGCACAAGAAGTAATTTTACCTTCAGAAAGCAAAAGAGGACTACAACAGTTTTTCCAGAATTTATCAACACTATTCTGTTCTAGATTTTACAAAGAGATCTCATAACTGGAAACTGTAATTATGCATCACTCTTCTTAAAATTAAAGCATGATCAAAAGTAAATCTAATTTAATGCTGTTATATAATGGGAGGTGCAAGAATGGAGTGAAATAAAATGTCCCATTAGCCTTTGGGCTGGTACATACTATGTTCAGAAGGAGAGAAATAAAGAATGGATAGGACTGGCGCTTCTAGGCATTGCTCATTCACTCCTCAAATTTTGCCTGTCTTTAGAATGATTGTTTCAGATCATATAGAAGCCTTTTTCCTACATTTAAACTAGATTTTGGGGAAAATCTGTGAAGATTCTTCCAAGTAATGCATAGCATAATTGGTATGAATCAACATGCTTCTCTTACATAACTGCACCTAGTCTTTCTGTGAGAGGCTGAGCAACTTCTGATCTCTCAAAATGATTTAATTTGCAGAAATGAATGCTTTTATCAGTTCTAATTCAGGAGGAGAGTAATTTCATCTAACACACTTCAAAATTAAATAAAACTTTGTATGTGGAAATAATAAAATTAAATTAGCATGTCTTTCCATTTGGAATGTCAAATGTGTTCTGGATTTTCAAAAACAATTATTGATTTTGTGTTTGAAGGCAGCTTTGCATAGCTGAACTTTTGAAGTGTTAAAGTTTACAKGCGCTCGACAACCCCTGCTGGATGATCAGGTATCCTGAAGGTGCATCAAGTAAATCAAATCCATTAGATGCTTTTGAGAATGTTCAGGATACACTTGTGTAGCCATAGTTATAAACATAACATTATAARCTGGGGTAAGAACGTGATAGGATGAACTCCAGAAGGTGGGAACCAGCAAGGCATTTCCCACAGGAGAGAGACCAAGCTAAACATTTATACTTCATTGGCCCTAAAGCCAGCATAAAATCAGTGAGAAATGAGAATTAGGCACATTAACTCAGTATCATTTCAAAGAGTAATGAAGACWTGGGACCCTTTGACTTTTGGCAGAATATTAATATTAACCTTGGTGCATTGCCAAAGAATGCATTAGTGCAAAACTGGTATTTTTAGTGCATTTTGTCAGCCCTCCTCACCCTCTCCACTATTTTCTTTTCTGTATATAACAGCTAACACAGAACAATGAGACTGATTTCCATTTGAAAGCAAGATGCTGTTGCAAGACCAATTAAATCAAAATTCATATTTCTTTTACCTGTAAGAATATTGGTTTATTTGTATGTTTAGTTCTGTCTAATGKGCATGTGTCTCTAGAGATGGACAATGCTTCTCACATATACATCTGTACAAAATAAAACAATCCTGAATGTAGAATTATAATTTTGGTACTTACCTGTCTATTAAATAAACATATTCAGCAATATAAGCAAGTCTTTTAGTTGTTTTCCATGCTTGTTCCCTTTCCACAGCGTTCACTCCATGTCTCTSTGGTAGAGCTCAAGGTAAGTTATCATCTCCACTGTTAAATGCTGGTTTCAGTTATTCTGCACCTCTTTGACCACACCAGTTCTCTTTCCCTCCTTTATTCCACCCTTTTTATTGTTCCTGTCCACTGGGATTGAGGATAGTTGTCTCCTGTGATGGAAGTAATCTCTTACTGAACTGCAGTGGAGAAACCTGTTTCTGCAACCACTTGGCAAAAATTGTCTCTTTATATAAGCAGCGATGCTGACAAGAATATATTTTGATAAGCAGAGCATGAGATCTCACTCTGATGGTTTCAGCTTTTGGACTCCCGWCTTCATAAACCCTGGATCCCTGGAATTATCAGCTCTGGGACTGTGTCTGTTTGGCCTTCACATTCTCTCTCACATTCAGCTTGAAGGTACTCAATGCTAAGATATTGAAACATAGCTTTAACATTCATGGAAGTTCATTAAACCCAGCACTTAAAATAAAGCTCTTCTATCTCTTACCTTGATTCAAACTCATTCTTACTTTATTTTAACTTTGTGATTATTAGCTGCAATTCAGAGTGGATATTTTTATTTGTAGGATTACAATTGTCATTTAGTTTGAAYAGATCATTTCTCCACCTCTTGAGAACTGTTGTGCAATATTAATGGAAAGTAAATACATATTTACCTCTCAACCATTTTTTTCATAGTAAACAAGTCAAATGCTTTTAGTTTCCTCTAAGTAGCTGCACTCTTCATTTCCCTGGGTT